TAACACAGGATGACCCCCACTGCATCATGGGAGCGGAGCCTTTGATAGGGTTAAAAGGTTTGTTGATGTTCAACAGAAACTGCAATGCAGATATAGGTGCCTGTAGATAAAAACAAACTGTGCAGCTTTAACCAAAGTTGAGCAATGCCTTACCATAAATGTATGCCATTTACATACCTTCCGAAGCCTGACTGTAAATCTCTCAGAGATGGCATTATCCAATCCTACCATCTGCTAAGACATTCTCAGCCACTTCAAATGCCTTTATATGAGCTCCCCATCGCCTGCCCCCTCCCCCCCATCACTGCGGGGAAAGCAGTAACAGCTCGGTGTTTCTTAGCAACGTCCGGATGGGATGATGCCATCTGTGGGAGTTTTTCAGTCAGCCTTTGGGAGGTAGAGACATGGCCTAAACCAACAGGAAGGCTATTATCAAAGTTTGGTCTAAGCTGCAGTTTGTTTTCATCTACAGGCATCCCTACCTGGAAGTTTTTTGGTGAAGGTGAACTAACCCTTTGAAGTACACAGTGGCTAAATGGTTAGCACTTCCGCCTGGCAGTACTAGGGTCATTGGTTCGAATCCTAACCATGGCACCACCTGCCTGGAGTTTGCATGTTCTCACTGTGCCGTGTGGGTTTCCTCCAGGTACTCTGGTTTCCTCCCACACTCCAAAGACATGCTGGTAGGTGAATTGGCTCCTATCTAAATTGGCCCTAGTATGTGTATGTATGAATGTAAGTTAGGGACCTTTAGATTGTACGCCCCTTGAGGGTTAGGGACTGATGTGAATGTACAATATATATGTAAAGCGCCGCATAAAATGACCTGTGCAATACAAGTACCTGTAATAATAAAAACTAAAAAAACAAAACTTTTTATGGATACAGATGGATTAAAACATTAAATCAGGTTTTTAGCACCTGTCTGGGCGTCTGTTATAGAGATTCACCCTCTATTTTTCCTGTTTACCATTATCTTTCAAAGTGCAAGAAAATCCCATATTTTGGGTTGCCCCCAGAAAAGTAAGAGGGGAAATCTTCCAATGGGTACACACACTAGTTTTGGTGATCAGAGGGTCCCCTGGGGAATTCCTTAATTTGCAGAGATTTCCTCTCACTTCCCGATCTGGGTACGGGAAAGGAAGTGAAGGAATTCTCCCCAGTGGGACACACAGAGAAAACTAAAAACTGACAGGGATTATGACCCCCCCTTACTCTAGCCAAAATGTGGAAAAAAAATAAAATAAAAAGTTTTGCCTATAGTCCTACTTCAAGGCTAAGAAGAAGGAGGTGTGGCCACACAATTTACATGTGCGTGACTGGGCAAAAGGGCACCTAATTTTTTCAATGCATTATTTCATTGGCCAATTTAGCAGCAAATGAATATACAATGAGGATTCCTGCAGTCGACTGGATATGAGAATCACACAGCTTTTCACCCTTCCATATCATCTGCCCACCACTTCTGTCGTCACTCCGTGCTGTGCTGAAAACACAACAGAAATTTCCCTGCCACCCATGGCACAGGATACGGACATACCTGTTTTTGAACCTATCTAGTGCAGCGATGCCAAAGAAATACATTTTGGATCCATAAGGTTTGCGCAGTGCTTCCAGTACATAGCGCAGTGCCAGTCCTAGAGCCATGTACGTGACTAGTCCTTTTTCAATGATGCCACCAAACAAACAGGCGGTAATATGTAACTCCTTGTCTGGGTACTGAGGGAAAAAACGATACTCTTCAAACAAATTGCGCAACATGCAGTTGAAGACTTCACGCTCCCGCTTTATGTTGGAGTCCTTAAACCTCTGCAGCATTTCCAATACCTGCAAGATAGCAAAATGATGAGCGAGCGTGTGAGAAGCACATCAGATCTAGAACGTCTAGAAAGAAGTGAGACAATCAATGTACCAAAACATAGACATTTGGAATAAACAAGACCTCAGAGCACGCCAAACAGAGAGAACCCAAAATGACTAAAGCTGAACTCCAGGAATTCACCTGCTTTTTAAAATATACTGGCATACTATAATTCAAGTGTAGTGAGGTGCGTGTCTCTCTAACCACTTGCCTACCGGGCACTTTTACCAACTTCCTGTCCAGGCCAGCTTTCAGTGCTGTTGCACTTTGAATGACAATTGCATGGTCATGCAACACTGTACCCATATGAAATTTTTTTTTTAAAAAATAGATATTTCTTTTAGTGGCATTTAATGGCCACTGGGGTTTTTATTTTTTGCACTATAAAAAAAAAAAAAAAAAAAAAAAAAAGGAAGGAAGGAAGGAGGGGAGGAGGAAGGAGGAAGGAGGAGAAGGAGGAAGGGAGGGAGGGAAGGAGGAGAAGGAGGGAGGGAGGAAGGAGGAGGGAGGAAGGAGGGAGGGAGGAAGGAGGAGGAGGGAGGAAGGGAGGAGGAGGAGGGGAGGGAGAAGGAGGGAGGAAGGAGGGAGGAAGGAAGGGAAGGAAGGAGGAGGAGGGAGGAGGGAGGAAGGAGGAGGAGGGAGGAGGGAGGAGGGAGGAAGACGAGGAAGAAGAAGGAGCAAAACATTTGCAAAATTTTATAATAGAAACAAAGAAATTTTTGCGCAGCGCTTTACATTATAAAGGGAGACAATACACGAGACAATACAGTAACAATACAATGCAATACATGAGGGGTTCGAGGGCCCTGCTCCTTGGAGCTTACAATCTAGGAGGGAGGGGATAGTGGTACAGGAGGAAATAGCTGTGGGGGATGGAGTGGTAGGAAGAGTGGAGGAGTTCAGTAATTAGATGAGGGCGGGGTAGGCTTCCCTGAAGAGATAGGTTTTCAGAGTGCACCTAAAAGTGAGGAGAGTAGGTGAGTCTGATGGATTGGGGTAGGGAGTTCCAGAGAATAGGAGAAGTCCTGGAGATGGGCATGGGAGGAGGAGACCAGGGAACTAGAGAGTAGGAGGTCTTGTGAGGAGCAGAGAGTACGTTTTGGGTGGTATTTGGATAGCAGATCGGTGATGTAGTTTGGGGCATAGCCGTCTTTCGGCTATATCATGGCTGTAAAGTGGTTAATCTACATCTGACAGTTTTATGGCACTCGGGAAGTAGTGTTATCACCGCTCTGTGCTGTCAAACAGCAGCTTTGCTCACCCCTTCTGCCCATATTCACAGAAACCTTTGTATTTCTGAATGAGCTTAACACTATACAAGGTGCTCTGTGACTGGGCAGGAAGAAAGGAGGGGTGTGCACTGAAGCTGCAAATTCTGCAGCTGAAGGAGCTGAGACCAGAAGGTTCAGCATCAGAACTCAAGAAGATGGCAGTAGCTCTCAGCCTGAAAATCCATTAAAAAAACCTGTCAGATGTACGTTAACCCCTTCCCACTGAACATGCGCAAATATGCAGCTTTACGAAAGGTCTTTTTCGGCGGGGCTGCAATTATGTGCATCTCTCTTTGTGCTGGGAGCGCACCGCACAGCATGCTCCCAGCACAGAGACTGGGCTCTCATTGAAAGCCCCGGGTCACGTACTATTGATCAGGACCCGGACTCACGGTTCGGAATCACCTGATCACTGTGATAGCCCATGACTGGCTATCACAGTGATCAGTGACTGAGCCCATCCCTGTGTTTACTTCCACTTCTGAATGGAATGCATGAGATGACACTATAAATAATAATAAAAAAAAAACCCACAACACTAAAAAAAGGGTGTAAAAATAAGCGAAAATTAAAAAGAATAAAAACAAACAAAAAGTACAAAAAAAAAAAAAACAAAAAAAAAGGATCAAGGTTTGCCAGGGTGTTATGGTCAAGGTCAGGGTCAAAAGGTCACAAATCAGCATATTTTGAGTAGAATAAAAAAAAAAAAATGCACACCATTGTTTTTGGGCCCTAATATGGGTGCAAACAACAACTAACATACACATATGTGGCATCGCTGTGATTGGGATTTATTTAGGGCTGTTTTTTGGTGGTAAAATGATGGTAATAGTAAGAAATATACAGCTGAATTAAAACAAATATATCATTTTATTTTTTTTTACTATTTTAGGATAGTTTTCTATTGATTAAAGAAAAAGAATAAATGACTAAAAAATAAAATAAATATAAAATCAGGAGATATCTGTCACTGTTTACCACCAAAAGAGAGCCCAATTTGTCCCGAAAAAAAGCAAGGTATAGTCCACCTGGATACACAAAGTAGACGTTATATACAGTTTTACTAACGTGTCAAAGATGCAAATTTGCGCTTGGGCATTAACATTTGTTTTACCCATAGAGGAGAAAGGGTTAAAGAGCAGTCCACAAGGTGGCATGCACCTCCTTGGGCTTAAACAGTACTCCACTTCCATGAACAAAAAAAAAAAAAAAAAAATACACATAGTATGTACAATTGAATTGCTACACTAATCATATTGTATTTGAATGTTATTAAACATTACATTTTCTTTTCAAACTGCATAGCTGTAATTTTCTTAAGGTCAGACAATCATGTAATACCAAGAACAGCTGTTCAGAAGAAAGACTGTTAGCTCAGACACCCTATATGGGGAGGGGATGGCCAATAGAAAAAGGTCACCATCTAAGACCAGGGCTAAAAGGTGGGGGAACCTCTCCCCCCCCCCTCAAAAGAAAAATAAAATAAAAAATCTGATCTGGCAAAAATGTTTGAATAATCTAAATTTAATTCAATATATAATGGCAAAAATGTTTGATGCCTTCTCATATTTTCATAAAAATTAATAAATTTAATTCATATAATGAAATTTGAAATATAGCACCAAGTTCGCACATCACTGAGCAAAGTCGCAAAATCGTTTTCAGTGTCTGATGAGGAATTTCCCCACAAATCATTATCACTCAATTCTGCAAGTGGTTCTGATTTACTATCGCTGTTCTCTAGCTGGTCTAAACCTGCTTTTGACCTAAAAGGGATGCTTTTTGGACGCCATGGACATTTCTCAGTTTCCAGGCAGAAAGAACAGTAAAAAGGCAGGCAGGGCGCCGGACAAAGCACTCGGGACAAAATGTATGTGAAATGGTTTGATACAGGAATGTTATACTATGTGATTTTAGTGAATGTCACTTTTTAAAATGTTTTAATTTCCCGCCAGTTCCGTCCCCCGTATTTGCCGACGTCGCAGGGAACGGAACCCGGAAGACAAATGCCGGCATCGGCCGGAGGACATTGTCGGGGACACTGCAGGAGGGACATCGCGGGAGCGCAGGACAAGGTAAGTGAAGGAGATCCCGGAGCAGCGCTGCAGTGCTGCAGTGTATTCCCAGTGTATTCCCAAGTGTAGCTCGGGGTTACCGCTTGTGGTGCTGAAACTTTACCTACACTCGGGAATACCGCCAGGGAGGTTAATTTAGTTGTACCTAGCATCCTGCTCCTGTACATGTGACATCAAACCCTTCTGTCAAAGTATGGCGGTGCCCTTCAATGAACAAAAGATGTAATTGATGGAGAGATACTCCCAACAGGGAAATCACATCTAAAAAAAAAAAGGGACACAGACCCTGCAACTTTCCTCCTTAGAACCCCGTGCAGCAGCTGATATTTATAAAATCACTCCCATTCATATTCATTTTGCCCAAACAGACATTTCTTCAGAACAAAAAGTAGGAATCTGCAACAAAGTTAGTTAAAAATCCCTGCAATGATCATCGAGAGGAGAATGTTTTTTTCCCTCAACAACAGTGGAGTTACTCTTTAACTCACAGTATGCTTGCATATTTATCAAAGTGGCGGAATTCCTAGAGCTAAGCATTAAAAATATAGAACCAAAATGGTGCCACAGACATCATAAAAGTCAAATTCTCACTGGGGGGGGGAAGGAAGGCTGGTCAAACAAGACAGCAAACTTTGGGCAGCACAGTGGCTAAGTGGTTAACACTTTCACCTGGGCAGTACTAGGGTCGTTGGTTCGAATCCCAACCACGGCACCACCTGCCTGGAGTTTGCATGTTCTCCCTGTGCCTGCATGGGTTTCCTCCGGGTACTCCGGTTTCCTCTCACACTCCAAAGACATGGCGGTAGGCGAATTGGCTCCTGTCTAAATTGGCGCTAGTATGTGTATGTATGAATGTAAGTTAGGGACCTTAGATTGTACACCCCTCGAAGGTTAGGGACTGATGTGAATGTACAATATATATGTAAAGCGCTGCGTACATTGACGGCGCTATATAAGTACCTGAAATGAAGTTATACAAAAAAAGTGCAACACGGTTTAGTTCAATTTAGCACAAGACAATAAATCATCCCGGGCAGAAACATTAGTGCCCATTTACAGCTGTAGCCTCTGTCTTTCGTGTGCCTAAACTTCTGGGTGAGTGCATATTCATAATGTCATTACCAATCTCTATTGGTCTCTTCTATCATAAACCCTTCTCCCTGCTGGTCAGCATTTATGTATACTGAGCCACATATGTGCAGCACAGTGTACATTTGCAGCATTATTCTGTGCACAGAAGAAGTGACATCACAGCCCGGCCAACCAAGCAGCTGACATTTTGGAACCTGGCAGGAAGACTAGGAGAAGAAAGGCACCTGTGTGCGACAGGAGCTCTGACAACACATTACTGGAGGAGTCCGCTTTGCCATAAAGGTGCTAATATGCTGTGCGAACACATGGCTAACAGCTCCTGGAGCTGTGTGAAGAAAAAAAAAAAAAAAAAAAAAAAACAAATTATGTTTACTGCCGCTTTAAATTATATAATTATGATGCCATGAGGATGTCTGCCTGCACCAACATCCACAAGACACAGTTCCAAGCACGGATATCTGGGTTTAAGATCACTCTTAAAGTGGTTGTAAACCCTTACATGTACCCAGTGAGGTGACTGGCCTTATAATACAGAGATGAAACAAATCCTCCTACATTTGTTGTACCTGTTTATCTGCAGCATTTCTTTCCTACAGTTGTTCAAAGTGCAGAATTTACACAGCTTATATGAGGGTTAGGAAACCAGGGAGCGGAAAGGTAAAGTAAGGCTGCCATACACTATACAATTTTCTGTCCAATTTTATTCAGATTTACCTTCAACTATGTAGTGCAAGGGCCTGCCTAATTGGATACAACTGAAAGTGTTGTTTGGGTTTGACCTCCTATTATATGGTTTTTGGTAAAGCTAAAGCAAAAATCTCAAGAAACTTATATAGTGTATGGCCAGCCTAACACACTGCAGAGCTCAGTGAGGAGAACTCCGAGCCGACAAAAGAGAAGGGACCCAACCCCCCTTCAGACAGCACACAGGAACAGAGCCGAGGTGTCCAATAACCTGCTGTGTGCTGGAGCTACCTCCCTTGTTACCTTTTGTCTTGGTGTCAGGAAAACCTTTCAGAAGTGCTTCATGCAGATAGAGGAATGAGGCAGCAGACAAATGACACTTGGCCTAGGTTCACATATGTGGTGCAGGAAACGCTGCAATCCCTGTGCTTTTTCTGCAGCACACTGCAATTGCACGGTTTTGCAATCTGCGGGTGTCAATTCAAAGTTAACACCACCCCAAAAGCAGGTGGCAAATGTAGTCTGTTTGCCTGCAGTGGATCACATGGTACAAAACGACCTGCATGTTTTTTGTGGTATGCGCTGTGATTTGAGTCCATTCACAATGAATGGGCTCAAATAGCACTGCACAGAATCGCATGTGCATTGCGTAAGAATGCTGTGCGGTCCCTGTGCGATTCCCATTCGAGAGTGTGAACCCAGGCTTAATGCTCTTAACTGAGACAAGTACACCCTATAGGAGGGATAGATTTTGTTCATATTTCACGTCTGAGGTTTACAACCACCCTAACGTGGAACTTTAACCATAACCATTTGAGATTTTTATTATATATATATATATATATATATATATATATATATATATATATATATATATATATATATTTAATATTCTTTAGCAAGGAGCATACCTTCTACATTCATAATTATGCTACCAAAATTGGTGCGTGCTGTAAAATGCCTGGATATATATATGCCATGGTGCTGTACATGTGATCAGTTATGACACCGGCCATTTTTGATGGTTTGACAGTTTGGTTGAGAGCACAAGCAAATATGACATATAGCATCCTTGCCATGACGTGAACGTAACTTTTTTTTTTTTTTTTTTTTTTTTTTTTAACTGCTATGGGTTTAATTCCGCTCTAAGTAACAGTAACAGATGGGGAAGGGTGCCAACATTAGCAAAGAATGTTTTCTAATTCAACACTACTCAGCCACTTACCTCATCCACCGACATTGTGGGGTGCGGCGGCTGGTTGTAGATGCGCTGGAAGTAGCTGTTGGCTTCGTCGTCGATTTCTTTAGTAAAGTGCTGGTTTGCTTCTGGCCATACCTGAGACAGGTCCGCTAGGGGAAGACAGAAGAATTAAAGGGCGACCTGGGCTGCTGTTTATTGACAAACAAAAACAAAAAACCCCACAAAACCCCCCCCCCAAAAAAAACAAAAAAAAACCCCCAAAAAACAAAGAAAAACCCCAAAACAGAACAAAAACAGAAAAAACACAAAAACAGAAAAAAACACAAAAACAGAAAAAACACAAAACAGAAAGAAAAAAAAAAAACAAACAAAAAAACAAACCCCCCCAAAAAACAAACAAGAAAAAACAAAAAAAAAAAAAAAAAAAACACAACTTACTCTGTTGGAATGTCGGCTGATTGAGCCCTGAAGTGCTGAGTTTCCTCTGTCCAAACGGGTCATTATTTACAGCAGGAAGGCCCAGTCCCCCCAGTGCTCATTCCAGTTAGACTGCCTGTCCCAAGGCCACCTACACAGAAGAAGCAAATCAGAATGAAGCTTGGTGCCATGCACATACAATATAAAGGCTGACAATAAAAAGCCCCCCTGCCCCATCTAAGTACCTGGCAGCTGCGAGGAGAGACCACCGAGGCCACTAAAAGCAGTAGATTGGTTTGGAGTCGTGAGAGGGGGAAATGCCTTGGCTGGTGATTGTGGTGTGCTAAAAGCTGAGCCCAGGTTGGGTGGGAAAGCTGGAAGGCTCTGTGTGTGAGGGGCAGCAGAACCACCAATGCTGAGAGAGGCCATTGCAGCCAGAGGGTCGATCTGGAGAAAGAAATGAGGTGACTATTTCCACTGAAAACTGCTCTCCATGCACAACCATACAGCGGAGGTCTAGATTACCTGTACCGGAGAGATGGCGTCCAGACTGCTTGTACTGGGAGGACGACCTTTCGGCATAACTCCTGGAGGAGGCTGCCGTGCTTTGTTTACCACATTGCTGCAGTTGGCCACCATGGTAAGGATGGTTTCAGAGAGCTCCTGGGGACACACTTCTAAAAAGGAAGAGAAAAGTATAAAAACAACAGAATTAAAAGGTATACCGTAAATAAGAGTCATCTCTGTACACTGCACTCACCATATGCTAGCCTAACTCATGGCACTGAACACCCAGAAATTTACACATTTATTTCAGGTACTTATATAGCGCTTTACATACGTATTGTATATTCACATCAGTCCCTAACCCTCAAGGAGCTTACAATCTAAAGTCCCACATAGGGACCCTACCCTACATGCATTGTGTCCAAGACCAACATACACATAGGGACCTACCCCACATGCACTGCATTTAAGGCCAGGGTACACACAGACCTACCCTATACACATACACTGCATCTGAGACCAATGTACACATACGGATGTACCCTACAGTCCCCTCGAAAGTATTCATACCCCTTGAACATTTTCCACATTTTGTCATGTTAAAACCAAAAACGGAAATGTAATTTATTGGGATTTGATGCGATAGACCAACACAAAGTAGCACATAAAATTGTGAAGTGGAAGGAAAATGATATATGGTTTTCAAATTTTTTTTTTATAAATATCTGAAAGGTTTGGCGTGCATTTGTATTCAGCCCCCTTTACTATGATACCCCTAAAATCTAGTGGAACCAATTGCCTTCAGAAGTACCTAACTAGTATATAGAGTTCATCTGTGTGTAATTTAATCTCAGTAACAGTAAAAAGCTGTTCTGTGAAGCCCTCAGAGGTTTGTTAGAGAACATTAGTGAACAAACAGCATCATGAAGGCCAAGGAACACACCAGGCAGGTCAGGGATAAAATTGTGGAGAGGTTTAAAGCAGGGTTAGGTTATAAAACAAATATCCCAAACTTTAAACATCTCACGGAGCACTGTTCAATCCATCATACAAAAAAATGAAGAGTATGACAACTGCAAACCTACCAAGACATGGCCGACCACCTAAACTGACAGGCCAGGAAAGGAGAGTGTTCATCAGAGAAGCAGCCAAGAGGCCCATGGGAACTCTGGAGGAGCTGCAGAGATCACAGCTCAGGGGGGAGAATCTGTCCACAGGACAACTATTAGTCATG